TGAATTTTATGAGACAGTGACGAAATAATGCTCACTGGTAAAATGAAATGGAAGAAATTGCAGGAAGTAGATCTTAATAAATTCATGCGTTCGCGCGGCTTGAACCAATCTTTCCAAGACGCGTGTCAGGCGCTATTACCAACTAACCTACGAAGACACAAGTTGGGAACAAATGTAATTTTAGTAGGCCTTAAATTTTCACAGATAAAAAATATTGTTCCTCCACTTACTCGTTCTTTCTTTTTTCCACAAAAAAGCACAAACGCGTTGATTATCTTGAGAGTAGTATAGCTAACTATAATAAAGACCTTACATTAAGTTAAAACTAAATTTCTACCAACCTTTTTTGCTTTAACGAGCCTGTAAATAAGATAAAGCAACATACGGTCAACTCTCTCGTAGGCGGACACCCTCGGGAATTGGAAAAAGTATCTTTCAGTAGAGGTGTCTGCCTAACGAGAATTACTCCCATAAGCAGGCACTAAAGAAAAACAGGGTGGATGTCCGCTTACGGGAGAGTTGATTAGCAGGTGTTAATTACATGTTTTATTGGGTAGCCAAAAATAGCAATTGAAATTCTTTACTGATTTCGATGTTAAAACTCAAAAGATTTAAAATAGAAGAGAGATACACCATAAAACTCTTCTATATTTCACAAAAATTTAAACGGGGCTTATTGCTGCCGTCCATACATGTGGATACATTAAAATTAAAAAAACAGAGAGTCTTGAAAAAAAGAAATAATTTCTCTCGCGCAGGAAACCGAAAATATCTGATCACGGCGGTCAAACGGTGGCTAGTAAAACGGCTTTTATATCGAGAACCCAAGTACGACATAGATTTCTGCAGGTTACATGGAAAGTTCGAAGTTCCTAAGGCCAAGACTTAGATACGTTGTGGTTTCAGACTTCCTCTAGTACTTTGTGCTAGTTCACACCGTCATACCTTTTTTTTTGCACTTAGCACGGCGGTGTGATGAATTCGCCCAAAAGCTTGGCCGCGCTGCAGTAGTTATTGTTTGTCGTGTTCACGGTGGAGTTACTGGTAAACACCGAGAAAATTAGCGAAAAAAGGAAGAAGCAGAACCACACAAGATATTTTTGACGATAAGAGATCTATGTTTATCGCGGATAGAAGACTAAGAAGAACTGCAAGGATAGAGAGAGAGATTCTGTCCTATTCCTTCCGTCCCAAAACGAAGCGTCCGCGCTTAAAACAATTGGGATCTTTCACAATCAAGCTGGAACAAGATAACAAGATTAAAACTTTCTCCAGATCCTTCTTTCGCTTGTCTTACGTATTGGAATAGTTGCAAATTTAACCTTTTCTTCCTCACTTTACGATAGTTACGCGTTTGGAAGTCTGCCATAGCATTTTCAGACTCTTGCGGATGCACAGTGTTTGACTGCTGTATTGAATGTCTAGACTCCTTCCACAATGACGCAATTGGCAGAAATATTTCAGTGCCGAGAGCGCGACCCAAAAATATTTTTTATCGCAGTCTCCAGAGCAGATTTTGCCACTGGTCGGTAAATAGAAAGCAGGGTGGACTTTCCCTTTCAACTTTAATTTTTGAGTAATTTTCCAGTACTTTCTTACGATTGTCTTTACTGACCAATAGGAATTACGGCAGAAGTAAAAAAAGAGAAAATTAGATCAGGCATCTCACCTTGCCTATTCTTCCCTCTCCAAATGACAAACACTAACACAATGATACTCACCAAAAGTAGAAATATTGTCGTCGAGTAAATGACGTGAAGCATAGTTTGCTTTTTCCGATCGCCACTTTGACCTGCACCTTGAGAAAAACCAACACGTGTGTAAATATACATAGCTAGCCGTACGTACCATTACATGGCCAAAATAATACAACGCCTTATAGAGGCCCTTATCCTACGTATATTCAGAAGGGTGATGGAGTAACCCAGAATCTTTCTGTTAAAATATTTATCTCTTTTCTCAAAGATTGGTCTTTTGAGTGAATTTCAACTTTATCTTGGACCGGTGTGAATTTTTAATCTCATCCAAGAGAATCTCTTGAACACCAGAAAAAGTATTTTTTGGCCAAACTTTATCACTCCTGTTCACTTCTTTCCACTTTAAATGCCAAAGAAAAAACTCTAATTGTCATGACACTCGTGGATGAATATTCAACGTCATACATAACAACAAATATTCACATAGCAGTTCTATACTAATCTATGTGTGGGCGATATCGTGTCACATTTAAACAAACTCGCCTAAACGTGGAAAGAAAGAAAAATTCATAAGGTTTGCATTCCTGAGTTAACTGTAAAGCTCAGTTAGTTCAAAAGTTGAACTTCTCAAGAACAATAACACTCCTGGGTTTGCTTTGATATTTAATTTTCCACATTATTTCTATGCAGTTTATTAGTTAGCCTTTTTTTTTCTTTATCAGACCCAGTTTTCCTAGATCGCCTGCAAAAACACTGGACATAGACTGTTGCCTTCAAACCATACCATACCTTGATACTAAGAAAAATAACAGTTCTTAACTTTTTCGTTACTTCGCTGAGCGTATCGCAGGCTTTAGTTAAAGGTAGGGGGGACCGATCGAACTAATCGGCATATAGCTAAAATCATTATTGCAAAGTTAAATATTTTGAAAATAAAGGAAGTTTCCTCTCACATGATGCCCTACTGGTTGTTGAGGGAACAGCTGGAAAGGAGTAATTAATGGTTAGGCATTAAAAATTAATTAAACGACACAAAAAATACTAGATTATTTACAAACACTTTCGGTAAAGTTGTGTCAAGTAAAATTGAAAAACGACGATTTTAACAACTAAAATTTTAATTGATTTGAATTGCTTCTCACCTGTGACCGTTATGTTTGTAAAGGGATTAGCTGGAAAAGAACAAGCAATCATTAGAGATATTTGCATGGTAAAAAGGCAACAACATACTAGCTAACGACGATTTTAAAAACTAAAATTCTAATTTTTTAATTTCAACAAGGTTGCTCCTCATCTGTGACCGTAATGTTTGTAACGAGATAACCTGAAAAAGAGAAAGCAGTCATTCACAAGATAAAAATTTCTAGAAGAAACAATAGCTTTGGCAAGAAGCAAACAGCTGTGGTAAGGGTAGTTTTGTCTAAGAAAAGATGACAAAAGAAACGAGTTTGTCTAGCATTTTCACAGTGCCCTTTGTTAAGGGTACAGATAGAAAAATTCATTGAATATACATGTATTTAGGTACGTATTGGTACGTCAAAATCAAGATTTATAATGATTTATAATAAAGATATTAATAAATACCATAATTTCTGTTGTAAGCACGCCATTTCTATCAGTTTAAAAGTTACATTTTCTCTCACCTGTAGACGTAACGTTTGTGAAGGGGGTAACTACATTAACTCAGCCTGGGCCGGTCCCAAGCCTGGATGGAGGAGGGTTGGGCAAGAGGCTGAAAACTACGACATAGATATCCTCGAAATAAGTGAAGCCCGATGGAGAAGAAGAGGGAAAGGAAAACTAGTTTTAGGCCTCACCATACTCTATTTGGGCAGAGAAGATGACTGGCACACGGAAGCAGTCGCCATGATCATAAGTAGGAAAGTAGAAAAACACTCATTGAATGCCAGCACACATGACCAAGATTGCTTGATGCTCGCTACAACTCAAAGTACACCAAACTGAAAGCGAGGTATAGAAAAGAAGACTCCCTACTATGAACACTTTCGGGCAGCGACAGAAGAAGTGCCAACATATGACATGCTTTTAATTGTTTTTGACCCGAACGACAGACAAGAAGACAACATAGGCAGGGACCCGGGATCGGGGTACACGGTGTAAGAACAATGAATGACAATGGGGAAGGATTGGATGACTTTTATGAAGAGATCAAACCTAGAAGTAGCAGGCGCCCTTTTTCACCGCAAGAACAATCACACGTTTACATGGACATCGCCATTTTCTTGGTCAAACTGCTTAAGACCAGAATGCAACTAGAAAGCTGATGTCAGTATCAGCAAAAGTCCAACGACGGATTTAGCAACAATGACGTGTTAGTGAAATACCAGAAGAGAAACGCCATCTTGTTAAGGAGAAGGAGAAACTCACAAAGTGGAAGGAGCACTTTGATAGCCCCCTGAATAGATGTGAACCATTGGAAATAGATGAAATCCCTATGGCAGACGAATACTTGGACATATTGGCCAAACCACTTACCCTAGTAGAGACACATAGGGGCACGAAGAGGAGAGATCTTAACTAAGCTAATATACACGCTATAAAATTGTAAACAGAAAATCATATGTGCTTTTGTTTTATTATAATTAAGGTTCTCGCCATAATAACGTCTCTCACAAGCGAGCAAGCCGAGCATGCAAAAGATATTATCAACACTCAAAGAAAATATGTGCATCCACGCGAGTAATATAATAAAACATCCTTTATACGCTTGAATGTGTGTAACCCATTTAGCCTGAAAAACCCCCTAGTTTTGATAATAGCTTATCTGTACACAGTACAGAGTTATGAGATAAGTTTGTTTCCCACAAACGGCAAAATAGTATCTAGTTGTGAGGTAGCACAGGCCTTACTTGGATTCAAATCAAGTTCCCTTTTAACTCCGAATGCCCCAAGCTTTCCATCTTTGATTTCATCTTCCAGTGGTTTCAAAGGGTCAGTGACAGATTTACCAAACTTCATCTCTACTTTAGCAATGACACTCCCAGATCTATCAGTAAAAAAGAGAAACTTGTTGATCAAAGCTGTTTGCACAATGACAAGTGGTTGATACTTTTTCATCTCCTCCATGACATCATTCCACCAAACTTCAATTCCTTAAATCTAACATTATTAAATCTCAAGTAATTATTGTTTGTATACAAATCAATGCACTGTAAACATTAAACTTCAACTAATTCCTGAACTAACCATGGAGTTTGTGATACAAACTAAATTCTGCATTCGTTTTCTTCAAAAACAAATGTTATCAAAATATGAATACCTTGAGCACTCTAAAATTAACAGTTACCTGAAATCAACAACAGCAACTGTGTACAATTCTTTTACAGGACTTTTGGTGTAAACCTTAGATATCTTAAACACAAGGAAGAGAGTTATGTTATTTTACAAGGATCAAAAATGCCAAAATGTGCTATTCAAAAATATATACATGTAAAGTGCATGCAGAACACAAAAATTTCATTCGTCTGTGTGCCTGAAAGAGCAATTTTTGGTTTGCTTCACAGGTGTAAAATTTACATCATCATATTTCTAATACAGATACATGTATGTGTAAATGCACCATTGTTGGTGCTGAAAAAAAAAAATTCATAACCACATTGACCAATCCACTCTCCCAGACTAAATTTGGAATAAATTCAAAGCTACTATAATCTGATCTCCTGGTTCAGAATCATAAATCAAGTAAATAAGGTACACAAAATGTACCTGCATTGTATACTTAGTAAAATTCAAATTAAATTTTCCTCTAAAGAAAAGCAAAAAAAAAAAAAAAAGGAGCACAAATATGCACATGCATTTTAAGTTGTTTGTATTCAAGTTAAACTCTTCACTCATTAAATGAGATGCAGGATAATGAAAAGCAATTTCTCCAATTATTTTTCCTTGGTAGTCATCTTAAATGAATGAAAAGGAAGCTAAGTCAGTCCAAGCAGTACTGGACAAAAGAAATTACAGGGTATCTGTACTCAAACATCAAAAATTTGCAAAATTACCACTGTATGACAAACATAAAACATGTGTATTGGTACACATACATGTAAAAAAAAATTTGACCTTCCATGGTCACTCATTGTATTTAACTCTACAAAATACTTACTTCTGATAACAAATTTGCCTGCAATGTTTTGAACTCAATTGACTCTCTGTTATTCAAAGCTGACTTCCAAGTTTCACTCTCTAATGTTATTCCAACAGTCTTAATTTCACACTCATTACCTTTGGTATATGAAAAAAAGAGAGAAAATAAGCAATAATTTAAGGTTACTCCAAAACTATATCTAAGCAGGACTATTTTTTCCTACTTCATTTTTTCAATCAAATTAAATTAAGTCAAATAACTAATCTTTCATCATCCAAAAGTTCAGTTCAGATCTTGAAATGCATGGGGAAAAGGGTACTTTTATATTTTAGGAAAATGATAAACCATCAAGTTGTCATGATCTCTGGAAGACTTGTACTCAAAAACCTTTTCAAAGTAAAAAGCTGCTAGCAGGTGATCCTATTTCATCTTAGCTTTGTTTCCACTTGAGATTGAAAGCAATAGTTTTCAAAATACAGTGTAGAAAAGTCCATTTTATCATGAAACAAAGCCAAATATATACCACATTTACTATATAACTGGTGATTGTTGACATGCTGTAATCAGAAGATCAGCTTTGAATATACAGGACAGACAACTTACATTTTACGCCAGCTATACTGACATTAGAGGCATCGACTCCATATCCATTACTAGCTGTACATCGGTATGATCCTACATCCTTCAACTTCACATCAGTCAAATGAAGCTTGTAACCTGTCACATTAAACTCTTCAGCTGGGATTCCATCTTTTGTCCATGTAATCTTTGGCAAAGGGTCACCAGATGCATTGCAGGTCAGAGTGTAGTTTTTTCCAATGGTAAGTAAAGGCCTTGGTTCTGGTGGGATAGTTATTTCTGGAGGCACTGGGAATAACAATTTAAGATATGCATTTAGATTGTGTGAAATTATCACGATTATTACATGGTATAAAATGTTACATACATTTCTGAGAAACTGCCATATCAAAGGCAGTGCGATCATCAAGAGAATGGTGTAAATAAAAATGGGGAGACAAGAGTTCAGCCATCTAATAACTACTGAGGAGAATTCTTGTAAATAATATTATTAGTAATGCTAACATTTATTCAACTGATACCTGCATACACATATTATGTTGTTAAGTGAGAGATGCATGGAACAGAAAGTCTGTAATCAAGCCCTTGATGGGTCAATGTACTGTAAACTTAAACAAGACAATTTACCCTTGCAGTGCCTCTCGATCTCCACCCAAGAGTGTAAATAAGTACCAGTCAAGAGACTCCTGAAAAACACTGGGGCTAATCCAACAACCCAATGGCATTCTCTCCCTGAGGTTAGGAAGTTTCTTTGAAAATTCAGTTCACTAAAACCCCATGAACAATCCCTTAGTAAAAGCTCTGACTACTGTCAGTAGATATGCATGTCCTTCCAAGCAATCATTAATTCAAACGTTTCACGCAGCACCCTGAGTAGGACTGTGGGAGTTACGATGGGTTAAACATGTGAATAAATCAACTTACTACATCATGAGGAAAACACAGCCTGCTATTAACGCAAATTTCAGTAAACAAAAGACATTCAAATTTTCCGAGTCAACGGTTGCGTACCTTCAAGCGAGCAATGAAAAACGATAAAAGATCGTTTAGTGCTTGTGATTCTTTATGACCTTACAAGTCGATAACTACTTGAATGTTGTAAGACGTAAATGAGCCATTCAGATGTAAATATTCAACGCAAGATGACTCATGCAAAACTGACATATAAGGGAGTAATGAACAATACAGGCCGATTGGCTGTTAATATTTAGCAATGACTCTATCGAAAGTGTGGATCAGAATACCTTAGTGAACATAATACAACAAAATCACACCGAATGGTTTTCAAGAAATTTTTTCCTCATGAATATTGTTGCAAAAGCAAGAACAAAATCGTGCATGTACACTTTACATGTATATTGGTTGCACAATTCGCATTAACATAACCCAAGCGTGAGCTTAACTTCCAGTCTTCATCACAGAAATACAACTTCAAGCAGCAAAAAAAGAAAAAACAAAATTAAACATAACAATCAATTCACAGGAATTTCAGTCATTCCTAGTGTCTCATGAAAGAATAACTACGTCAATCGCGGCTGAAAAGTAACAAGCCGTTTGAAACACTGAAAGTGTAATTGCGTTGAAAACGTGTCCTTATATATGGTACAATGATTTTGCATTTATAAAATAAGCTTATCATTCCCTGTAAAAAAAGTTCGAATTAAAATAATTTCACGCAAAGAGAGAGAGGCTTATATATAAAGTTTGGTACGTTACCATAAGACACAATTAAGTTATTGACGTACGAAGTAACTACAAGACAAAGTGTATCAAAGAATCTCATACAACAGCTTCACTTACCAACTACTTTGATAAAAACTGCGTGTGTCTCTAGCACTCTGGCATTAGAATCCAGCAAATAAAGACTGTAGGTATAATTCTCACTTGCTTTCACGCTCTTAAGTATTAGTGTAGCAGGAAGCCGAGCAACGAATTCTTCTGTGTCGCTCGGGTCGAACGCATTCCCATTCTTGCTTGTTGATATTTGTGTAATTTTTTCACCAGTTTTCTGTCTCCAAAACTGAACGAAATACTGACCTGGTGCATCAGTATACCGCCACACAAGTGTGACTTGGCTGCTGTTTACTCCAAGCACCACAATAGTGGGATTGGAAGGTTTTTGGCTGATTCTGAATGCCGACTCTGAAGAAGCAAAACAGACGAAGTTGAGCTAAATTTCAACACATCACACGTAACTCTAATAACTTTGAAGATCATTCAATCAGAAAATTTAAAGAAGTGTTTAGGTACGTCAAATTATTTTAGAGCAGTTTAGAGCTTTATCTCAAATGGCAAACTAAAGTAACATCTCGATATTCTTAACTCGATGTACATTACCTGACTTCTGAATTATGAAGCAGAGTAAAAGCGTGGCCAAAACCCATCGAAAAATACCAGTAAGAAAAAGATCCATTATCCTTTCACAAGCCTATTCCCCTTAAGAAATTCAACTGAAGAAACATTCAAGGAACGTCCGTTGTATTTTTGATGAATAGGGAGTTTAAGATACGGTCACTACGGACTGCGGTAATACACGGCGAGGACCTGGTTCGAGATTTACTGCAGATGCTCGATAGCACGTGGGTTTCGCAGTCTGTCGTATGGTTGCAGGCTACGGCGAGTAGTCGAGGAGATTCGCGTAGTGAGGACTACGTAAGTATTTTTTTGCCGATTTTTGACCAGTTTTGTTTTCTAAACGCTACTTTTATGTTGAACAGTCTTTAGGCAATTAAACTTGAGCGAAAAAGAAGTAAAAATCGCATTTTTTTCTGTTTCTGGTTCTGATTACTGACGCCCTTTGAATTCTGTTGTGTTTACAAGCAGATTAGGATGTCAACAGGAGATGCGGACGTCCAAAAGTTGAAATTAAATCGAAATAGCGGCATGGGTATGCTAGTCGTTTTAGCAGTAAACAAAGTCCTTCTAAGCCACTGCAAACTGTTCCCTGTGGGCACTTGAAACTCGCCGCAATCCGCAATGCGTTCAATAACATCGGAATATCATCCTTGGCCACCCTGAAGTGAGCTTCGCACTCGCAAGAGTCGAACACATCCAAACAGAATGGATCAAAATTCCAGTACGGAAATGAAGGATTAACGGGTTGGTAATAATCGTAAAGAACAATAAACTCTTCATCATCTAGAAAACCATCCGCATAAGCGATTAAAAGGGCGTTTCTAGCATCTTCGAAGAACATTTTTTTTTTCCAAGTGCAGCCGTAGTCCGTAGTCGTTGTCACGATCTTAACGTCAAACAACACTCCAATTTTCGCGCCTTTTTAGCGTAGTCGGCCCAGTCCACGCGTGGCTTGGATTCTCACGCCCAGACGTAGTCCGTAGTCCGTAGTGACCGTATCTTAAACTCCCTAATGATATCATGGGACGCCAACGCCAAGCGGAAACCTTTAATCGAGCCCAGTCTTCCGCCGGATTAAGGTGTTCAAAGAGTCTAAGCCCGATTCACCCCCAAACGAGAGAAAGAATTGCATTATTGTGCAAACAACAAGCCAAAATGCAGCAATGGATATCTGCTTGATATCTACCCGTTTGTCCTCGTCTACCGTAAAGGAAACTATTTTTTTGTGTGAAACAGAAGAAGGTGTTGGTGCCGAAGAATACAATTAAAGATCCCTCTAGCTCAGTCTTGAGTGGAAAAGAGGACAGAAGCAAAGAGACAAATAATAGAAATTGAGTACTCGAGCCCTTGCGTACTTTCTTCCTGCTTGAAAGTATCACAGTCCTTTTCGTTATTTCCAATTTCATAACAATGCAACGGCTTTTTCAACCGCCATAATATTGGGAAAAACATATGTTATACGATGTCACGCAACCAGCGACAATCTCCCTCCACCCCCCAAATAAAAAGGAAAAAAAAAACATGAAATTGTTAAAAAAAAAAAAAAAAAAAAAAAAAAAAAAAAAAAAACTCGTCAAGAGACTCCACGGTAAGCGAGGTCTATTACCAAGTTCATATGACATGCGTCCTGCATACTGCTAGGATCATATGTCCCATTGTTTCTCTTGTATACCACTAAAACATTGTTTCAGCCCACAATATCAGATCTGTTAGCGTTGCTGTAGATTTGAATTAAAATTAAGCTTCGTCAAAACTGTAGAGAGCTAAAATTCACTTGAAAATTAAAGTCGCATGATATATCGTGGTTCCTTCTCATTCTCTAGTACTTATTTTGAATTATTGTTGACAAAAAACTGCATTCTCGCGCTCTCGAGGGTCTCAATGGGGTGATGGCTTTTACGGCTATCGGTTAAAATTTTGGCCAATTTACGGCTAACGGTTAACACCTTTCCATTGTTTCCACCAGACATTTTTTACGGTTAGCTTTTTTTACGACTAACGGTTAAAATTTGTCAATTTTTACGTCTAACGGCTAAATAGTTTGGCCGTTTTACGGCTAACGGTTAACCCCATTGAGACCCTCGCTCTCGTGGCTCCCTTCGCTCCCCTCGAAAGCACAACCGATGTAAGGTCTTAATGGCCAATATATACTCACGTTTTCAGACCAGGCCGGCTCAAAAAACCATAACGGTAGTGGCATCATCGTCTGCAGGGTAACACACCCCTTTCCACCCCCAAGAACAATATATGAAATACTGACTAATTCATCCATTCAGTTGTTCATTATTCAATTTAATCTGAAAAAATTCCTTAAAGTAAAACTTCAAGTAGAGTGTTTAAGTTATTTAGACCACCAAATAGATTCAAAGGAAAACGGCAACTTCATTTTGAAACCGTGAAAGAGAAACGAAACGAACCCCAACATCTTGAAGTTTCTGTTTCCAGTAACATATGAAAAATGAAAGGCAAAACGGACACTAACGGTTATCCGTTCGAACGGGTAACCCGTTCGTTATCCATTTGTCATCCGTTCGAACGCCTAAAAAAATCCGTTTAAAGCGTTCGACAAACCGTTCGAACGGTTTGCATATCCGTTCGAAATACGTTAGCATCCGTACGAAGTATTGCGACATCCGTTCGAACGGTTTCAATTAACAATTGGTTCATACATCAGCGTGCGTTCATCGAGATATGAAGCACGCGGGAAGTTTGGAGAGCACGAAAG